GATTCTTGCAGTTGTTCTTCTTTATCGTTCTTCACCATCTTCAAAATGTTTTTTTTTTTTTTTTTCTGTGCTAAGTGAATAATTTCATGTTATGACGTGAATGAGAGAGGATGACCTTTCGAGCAAATAGTATTCGATGTTTTTACTTGACACTTTGTTCCATTTTTTTCTTTTTTATATTTCATTTTATTTATTTATTTATTTATTTATTATTTATTATTTTTTTTCTTTTATTCTTTCTTTTTTTTTTTTTTTTTTGACACAAGCCCTCGATTCGTGTCTTGTTCATTTCCTAAAAGTGGTAATTTCATAAGACAAGCTTATGTTTGTAAGTTTATTTTGGTCCATGGGCGTGTATGATGAAAGTGATGCTGACAAGCTAAAAATCTACACGAATATTTGAGCTTAAACTCACAGCTCAGTTTCTGAGATCTTGCATTATCACAAGAATAAGTAGTTTTAAAATTAAAATCACTTTCGCTTTGATACTTGCGAGTAGGTTTTCTATTTTTTCTTCTAAATTACAGGTACCCTAAATTGAATTTTATTCGCAAATGGCAGTGGGCTTTCACAACGATTAGCAGGAGGCTTCAGAATTCTTTCAGTCATTGTACTAATATGTAATGTGCAAATCTCCCACGACAGAGAGAACATGTCACAGCAAAAAATATCCAATGTAATAAGTGGAATTAAACTAAGATATCATTATTATTACTATTATATATACATATATATATATATATATATATATATATATATATATATATATATATATATATATATTGAGAGAGAGAGAGAGAGAGAGAGAGAGAGAGAGAGAGAGAGAGAGAGAGAGAGAGAGAGAGAGAGAGAGAGAGAGAGAGAGAGAGAGAGAGAGAGAGATATAGAGAGAGAGATATAGAGAGATATAGAGATATAGAGATATAGAGATATAGAGATATAGAGATATATAGACATATAGACATATAGACATATAGACATAGAGACATAGAGACATAGAGACATAGAGACATAGAGACATAGAGACATAGATAGAGACATAGAGACATAGAGACATAGAGACATAGAGACATAGAGAGAGACATAGAGATAGAGACATAGAGACATAGAGACATAGAGAGAATAGAGAGAGAGAGAGAGAGAGAGAGAGAGAGAGAGAGAGAGAGAGAGAGAGAGAGAGAGAGAGAGAGAGAGAGAGAGAGAGAGAGAGAGAGAGAGAGAGAGAGAGAGAGAGAGAGATAGAGATAGAGATAGAGATAGAGATAGAGATAGAGATAGAGATAGAGATAGAGATAGAGATAATAGAGACAGAGATAGAGATAAAGATGGATGTATTAATATATATATACACAAATTTAGCAACAATCATTTTCGTAAGAGGTGCAAGGTATTATCCTCCTGTAACAGAGAGCTCTCAAGTCAGGGATTTTAATTGAAGTGACCATATTATATGTTGCTTTCTTATTTCTGAATGTGCAGTTAATGAATCTCACATTCGATGTATCTTTTCTGTTGGAAGTACAAAGATAAGTCTGTTTACCAATCAATGGCGAAACAGCCAAATCACCTGAGAATCAAATGTCTTGCTTGAGTAGTGTTTCCCGGTAATACATTTCTTCCAGAAAAGGGAAAACCGGAACTGTGCTTGAAACTTTGTAACTGATTTTCAGATTCAGTATATCATATCATATATCTGCAATGGGATAGACACCTGCAAGATATAGTTTCCTACAAGCTGGTCAAGCCAACTTGCTGTAAACTACTTTAAAATTGTATTAATGTCCCCTACTTGATCTTAGTCTTGTGTGTTCAGCTGTACTTGATTTATAGTTACATGTTTTATATTTATGGAATACTTTTGTTTATTGCTGATAGAAACCAACTGTCAGTTAGCTCAGTTTGTTCCAATACTCATAACCATTTTATTTATTACATAATGATTCAAGTTATATTTAATGGCAAATTTTTGTCATCATATCAAAAATTCTAATTTATTCTAAAGTAGTTGTGCTAACAAATACTTAAATGTCTGCTTTGCCTTTTCTTTTATCAAAATTTTATTGTAACCTTGCCATCTTTGTTCTCAGGGGATTTTTAAAAAAACAGACTAAAGTGCAAAATTACTTAAACTGTGAAGTTTATTTTAAAGTAATTCTACTTGATCTTAAAAGTATCACCTTCATTAATAGCATTAGTGTAAACAATGTTGAGCAGTTTTAATTTTGTAAAATTCATGACAGCATAGACAATCATTGCAAAATATAGTTAGTTGGTTAACATAAGTTGGCTTATTTAAGCAGCAGTTAAATTTGCGTCTTTTTTATCATGCAAAAGTTTTAAAATTATAAAGAAAAAATTCTCATAACATAGGAAAATGAAGTGAAATGGAACAACATTAAAATAAGTTCAAGCATTGTCATTTGCTCAAAGTCTGCTTCAGATATTTATGGTTATAATAAACAAGTAATATGAAAATCAGTTTTTTTTATTCATAATCTACTACATGGAACCCAATCTTGGAGTTTTCAGTTTCCAGACATAAAAATTCAAAAACAACAATTTGTTAAACTCAAACATAGTCTTTTAATTCGGAGTTAACATTTCTTTATAACAGATCTAAAACGAAACGACAAAAATTCCCAGTTCGTACAGGAAGCAATTTGTACTATTGGGACAAACCCCTACAGGATGTGATAATAAAAACGACCATGTGCTGCCTAGCCATCACAAGTGAAAATACAATCTTACATCTGGAGATAACCTCCCACTCTGACAGTCCATCACTTACCAACATGGTAAAGTTATTATGGGAAGCGGGGGGGAAGCCGCATCTCTCGGTACCCTGAGCATTTGTTTCTGTGCTATGGTTATGCAGTCAGAGAAGCAGAAAAGGAACACACATTCTAAAAACATGTGCATTTAAAATCGTCACAACTACCGTCCAAACTATGCTGAAATGTATGAGAAAAAATAAAATATTTGCCTGTCAAATATTTTGGGATATGAAAATGTTTAGATATCAGTGATGAGCCAGTCATCAAATGTATCAGTATAAAAACATAAGATATCTTTCTTTATGGGTAGAGATGATGCAAACCCTCTTTATCAAACAGACCACAGTTCAGGCTTGGGCACCATGAGACCAATGTGTATATATGTATATAACAATGACAAATCCTGGTAAAGTCTTACTACACAACTATTGTGCCAGCCATATATACTGTATACACATCCCTTTCTTGAAACAAATATAAATTTTCAACACCAACTTTCTTGAAAATACAAATCAACTCATTTGATTTCTCTCTATACAAATCCTGAATACAATTTTGTCCAACCTTAATATCGAATGTCAATACACTATTTTCTATATGCTTCTTTCATTCTAAAAATATCATATATATTTAGTAAATGAAAGCAAATACAAGACCAAAAGAAGTGGAAATCTTTGACTTGGATAAGACATTCATTCATTTCATAACATCAAACTTTACCACAAGACTATACATACAACTGAAAAAAAAGTAGAAAAAAAGGAACAAGATATGCTTCCTGGATACAGATGCCACTTATCACAATTTTAAAATATTGTGAAGACTGGTACTAATGGCAAATTACAATATAAAAGGAGGAGGATACAAAGCTCACACGGGCAAATAAAATTGTGACTGGTAAGAATTTATAAAAAAAAAAAAAAAAAAAAAAATCACTTGAAATCACTTGCTTACAGGGAAAATATGGACTAGTAGAAAAAAACTAGATTTTGAGGATCTGGTTCCCTGTAAGAGAGACTGGGTTTCGAGCCGAAGCCAAGCCCCTTTGCATCAAGCACAGTGTCATTCCAATTAAAACCTAGGGGGAAAATTTGTATCAACACAGTATACACTTCATTGGTTGTTGTACCCTGTTGGTACAAATGGTGTCACTTTCTTTTACCTTCACATGCTCCCTCTAGCACCAATGTAGCTTGGTGCACGCGATCATGATATGACTGACTTCACTTGTGTTTTGTATAAAAGGAATGAAAACAATCAGGAATAAGAACTTTAAAAATATCATTAAAAGTTTGCAAAAATGAAAAGGACATATGATAATCATCATGATAAGTAGACTGCTAAATCATCAAGGGACATAGCAGTTCTACAGTAAGTGCACAACAACTGATTACAAGTAACCTTTCTAGTGAATAGAAATGAGTACACGTCTTGCATTAACTTGGAAATGTGCATGTACTCAAGTTACAAAAAACCCTCAATAGTTCAATATGAAAATCAAAATAAATAAATACAATAATCATTATCAATTAACTGAAAAAAAGGAGATACAAGACAACTTAGGTGGGTCATTCCATGTCTATTGCCTGTGCTGACTTGTGAAACTAAAAAATGACTAGACTACCAGACGAGCTAAATAAGACAAGTCAGGGAAATGGTACTGATGGTCAAACCTATCTGTCTACGATTATCTTGGCAGATCTGAGGTATAATGGTTTTGTTATAATCTCATCTTTCTACAAAAATTGGATCTGTCTTAGCAACAAGAAAATTTGACATGTTTCAGAGCAACCACTCGAGACTTTAATACTGCAGGAGAAAACATCGTTCCTACACTATACCTCAATCTCCTCAGTACTTCAAGTATTTAGCTCAGTGCAACCCTGCTTCCGGGGGATAATGAGATTAGTAAAAGATAAAAGAAATAAAATAGAATAAAAACAATAATAATAGTTATAATAATATTGGTCATATAATGAGGCAATATGATAAAACAATTGGGAAAAAAAAATAAAGGCAGTGTTTCAAGTTGATATTATTGGCAGATGAGCAAGAGAGAGAAGGAATGGACATTTCTTTCAAATCAGCATTTCAACAACGCTGTGGAAAATAAGACCTTGAAAGAAATCAATGTAATCTGTGTATGGCAAAGTTGGGAATAAAGTGGGCATATAAGAATAGCATTAACTTGCATCAAACCTGAGATTGTGGGAACGAAGTCAGCAGTGGGGCACTTTACATTAACACAACAGTCTAGTTTGAAAATTGTCATATGAAAAAAAAAGGAAAGAAAAAATGATTAAGTAAATAAATAAACGGGACATAAGTAAAGAAATGGCATCTGCCTTGTAACTGAGTGCACATCACAAAAACAAAAAGTAAGAGCTAATACATATACCAATTCAAACTACTAATCAGAAGAAACATTATACAAAGGGAAAAGTCGTGAGTTCTCCAAAGAATTCAGCGTCGGTGCATCCGCCAAATATTCGGGGTAATTATGTTTTTCAATTATTTTTTTCACATTTTTATATAACAAATAGTCAACGACAATTATGAAGCACCATTCAAAATAATAATAATAATAATTATAATGAAAAAATAATAAAAACAACTATCTTCTTGACATGGACAGGGTTAATTTATGAAAATAATGTGGGTTAAAATTTCCTGATATATATATATATCTGTCATTAAATACTGAAAACTATCAACTAGGCAGCATCTCTCATCAACTGTTACAAGTGCCATGCTAAAATCAACTTTTTTTTTTTCTGCATTACTTTCACTTAGTACATGTCACGGAAGATTGATGCATGATAACGTTTTGTACTGTCATCAATAGGTATGTATACAAAGAGGACAGAAATAAGGTACTCTAGCATCTATAGTCAATGGCAGTAAATGGTACATGTCTCAGACAGATCTCTGACTCTTGGAATGTCACACACTGCAATGCTTGAAACATCTTACAAGTTGAGCACGATGGAATAGTGGCAGTGAAAGTTAAAGGGCAAGCAGTAGGGATTGAAACATCAGGTTAAACCCCCGCTGAACTGAATGACGCAGCAATGACAAAAAAAAACACAAAAAACATACAATTAAAAAATATATATATAAAACTAAAAGAAAAACCATCAAAAATACCATTTCCTCCAAAACATCTGTACACCCTCCCTCCCCAACAACGGACTTACTGATGAATACGTTACTTAACAAAAGAGGACCCAGACAATGCTCTATGCGAATCTTTCTGTATAACCTGACCACCTCCTACTGCATGCCCCACACTCTGTTGGCTATCTTTGGCAACAAAACAAGTTACAAATGCGTCCATGTGGATACACACAACATGGCTTCTCATGCATAAATACCATAATCGTAATGATAAAAATGTAAAAGAAAAAAATATTAAGTAACTAAAGAAAATAATATCAAAAAGATGTTCATGGAGATAATCATAATACTGTTACAAATACCAATAAAAAAGAAACAAATCTACTTTTGCTAATATCATTATAACTATGATTACAAATTATCATAATCATAATCATAATTATATTTACAATACAAATGACAACTGAAAACATTAATCAAAATAACCATAATAATTAACTTAAAATGCAACACCAGAAGTAAAAAAGTAATAAACATTACCGATAATGATAATAATAGTAGCAATAACGAAAAATCATATTAATAACATAAGATTTAAATTACTGTAAAAATCATAATATAATAATGATAATACTAATAACAATGATAATGATAAAAAATAATAAAGAAAATAATAATAAGAATATTGATGATAACAACAATAATAATAATAATAATAAGTTAATGAGCCACTCAAACTTACATCCTCAACAGGAGGCAGACACTCAGCCTCATCTCGAACAACTTCCAAGTGCCCTGTCGCAAGTGTCCTTCTGTTTCTTCTTTTGGAATCACTCACCCTCAGTCATACACGAACACAAGTCTGAAGTTTATTTCACCAGATAATTGTAACCATAAAACAAATACACGACTTATGTACATGACTAAACAAATAGTACAAATGTTTGTATGTGGTTGCTAAGGGTAATTCCAGTATCGCTCAATATCACTGGTCACATCCACAAGTCACAGTTATTTTAAATGTTCTCACTTCCCGCACTTTTTCCACTACCATAGTTCTTGAGAATTTAAACATTTAAAAATATTTTGCTCTATCTGCCCTGTTCACCCAAAGCAACCATATCACAAAACTTAAAAAAATGAGGTTGCTCACTGCATGACACAAACCTCGCGCACTCTGTATCGTTCATTCTGGCAGTGTATGATGAACACAGTCTTAATGTGGTTATAGGGTTGGTGCCTTATGCAAGTCTTGCATTCACAACTGACTCCACCTTCTTGCTCTGCATATCTAAAATGACTTTGCAAGAATAAACCTTCGTACTACAACTAATGGCTCAACAAAATGACTAAATCCTTCATCCACTTTGACTGCAGCGGTGAGGAAGCACTTCAGACTCAAGAGTAATATCACAAGAGTTGAAATGCCAACGAAACACAGGAAATGTTTCATTGCCGCTAGAGTCTAGATGGATGAAGAATAAAGACAAGGCTTTACACCTTGGCCTAGGAGGAACTCGGACAGTCCCATTCTATGAGGTACTGGACTTTCTCTTCAAGACTTACTCTCCTCGCTAACACATGGAACTTTTCACCATTCGCTATTCTGTTTGCGGCCCCGAAGTAATTATTAACGGTTGACTTCAGGTCACTATATGAGAAACCAGTGTCACCCACTTTGGCATCCTCGCCTCCTTCACTACCATCCTCCATCTTGTTGCTGGAATTCAGCCTCCCACTTAGTGCATAGTCCACACAATTCTTTATGCTGTTGGTGCCATTCAACCTGATATCATTTCCACCGTTCATATTGATGGCGCCATTCTGTAGTAGGAACATTAGCTTCGCCTTGTCGCACTTTTTGCGGAAGCGTCTCCGCTTTACCTCCCCATTTTTGCCAATGCGGATGTCGTTCTCATTTAATTTTCGCTTTAGGGGTCTGATGACTGGCATGCCATAACTGAGAGAGTCGAGATTCAGGAAGGGATTGTTCTGGCCCTCGAAGTTGGATGGAGGAGGAATGAAGGAATCAAGTGTGCCATGCGAGGAGGTCTCATCACCGCTTGTGTCTCCCGGAGTGATAGAATTTGGGGTGGTTATCCCAAGGCCTGACTTGGTAACTGGCCGCAAACCTTTGCCCTGTGGAGAGATCAAATCAATTATCTGACTACAAAGATAGGCAGAAAAAATAGAAAGAAATTACTGTGCTGTTTTGTAATATTTTACACCCAGTTTTTTAAGCACTTTCAACAAAATACTGATAACAGAAGTCTAACTAGTAAGTAAACAGGAGAAAAAAAAAATCAACCAAATCTAATAAACCATTCATTCAACCTCCAAATAACTTAATATTATAATTGACTTCAATTAACCCTTCCACTGCAGCAAAAAAAAAACTACACCACTCCTTCCCTTTCCATTTCTTTTACTACTATTATCTCAGTCTTCTTGCTGTACAAAACAATCCTCAAATTGAAACAGAAAAGGGATTAAAAGCTATACACCCACTGCATAAAGCTTTCTGAAGATGACTGATGGTCCTGCACACAATGCAGTACTTATTTATTCACAAAAAGTTTCATAAAATTATTAGAAGCTTGTGGACCACACAGACAAGGTAGACTGTGTTAGTGAGAAAAGTTCTAATTATAATGTGCAATAACCATCAAGAATGCCTTCGGTGCCCAATGTCTGCCCTTTTGACTTTGGTGTATCTGTTCGAAAAATATTTGTCACGAGCAAAACAAAAATCAGTCTTCTCTGATCATCACCAGTGTATGAAATAAAATATCAAATATATATATAAAAAATAAAAATATACAAGGAAACAGAAGAGGGAAATCTGTATTTCAGACTGATTAGAAAATATAGTCAATACAATATGGGCATAGGAATAGTCATATGTTGTCATATTTCGTGTAGGCAAAAAAAGGTAAATACCTTCTTTTTTATATATATGCAACAACAACATACACACAAGACATTAAATACCAAATTGTTGACATCCGACATGATGGCAGCTGATATGATGCAGTTTCAGCACCTCTCGGCAGACATGAACAGTCGATGTATATATACTCTACAGTGGCACTGTCAAATTATTACAAGAATGTTTCTAATGGATATCGAGGGTTCACCACAGTGAAAGGGTTAAAAAATAAAAGTGAAATAAAAATGAAATTCAAATACAAACATATACAGACAAATAAATCCTATTGTCAGTATTACAATGAAGATAAAGATGGAAGAACTAAAAACAAAGAAAGAACAGGTCTTCCTCTCCTTACCTGTTTCAACGCCTCTTTCAAAAGCTTCTGTGCCCTTTTCTGTTTCAAATCACGCAGGTCATTTGCTGACTGCAGGTTCTGCTGGTTCTTGGGCGGCCGGCCTCGTTTTCTTTTCACCGGGGCTTGTGATCCTGTTGTACTATTGGCTTTAACCGATCCTACTTCTTCTATCATTTTCTTTGCCTGGAATAAGGAGTTTACATTGGAACATCTTACTCCAACCTTAAAGAAGAAAGAAAGAAAAGAGAAAAAAAATCTAAAAATCATAAACAAAAGACATAATTATGATAAAATCAAATGAAATTTTATTTTCTTGTATATCAATTTTACTTTAATCTCTCTTACATGAAAGAAAAAAAAATGACATTAAGATAAATGCCATACAAGTAATAACTCTTGGAAAATTGCATGACCTCAAAAAATTTCCACATGCACTGCCCAATGCAGTTTAGTATTAATAATTTTGCATTTACACATATTGCTTCAGAAGTGTTAAGTATCCTAGGAGTTAAATACTAACCATATCTAATCTCAACAGTTTACCCCACTCCGCGAGTTTTGTTTGTAAAGTTTCCTTTTATCATTACTGCTATTATTGTATCATTATGTGTAATAAATAAAATCCAAGGAATGGGATATAAATAGTAGTTAGATAGGCCTAGTAATCAACTCTCAGTGACAAACCACAAAACCACTCAAACAGAAACACTGTGGACAACACACATACAAATTAAATAAAGAACTACAAAAACTACAAGCAAGACCAAATACCTTTTTATCATCCATGAGAATGTCCAACTCGCGTTTTCTCTTTCGTCTAACACTGCCGCTGTTGGGACTCTCCTCCTCCTGCTCAAGGGTACTGGGTGACAGGGCTCGCTTCTTGGCCGGGCTGAACCGTGCCAAAGCCTCGTCCACCTCCTCCTGCTTGTCCTCGCGCAGCTTGTAACTTCGGGGGATTGGAGGGCTGTAGGAGGAAAAGGAAGCATCACTTGTATTTTTCATAGATAGATGTCTCTCCTCCCTTTTAATGGGTAATTAAATAATGCTTACTGTACTGAAATGTAAAGCATAATATTGCATATCATTATCTAATTTACTGCATTGGAGCATTCCCAAAAAGTTATTTCTTATGAACCTCATATTCAATCAAATCAGCACCATTGCATGGTTAACCCTAACAAGTAATATGCAAAAAATAAATCATAAAAATAAAATGTTGCTGAAAAAATACTAACCATGTTACAAGCATAATTCAAGCAAATGATAACAAGAATTCACACACACAAAACATTTGTATTTGTTCAGTTTTCAGTTTTCCCCTAATAATTCTGCACAATGTAAAGATTATATAGCCAAATAGGACAACAAATAAATAAACAACAAACTAAATTAATAATTTAAAAAATAAGGAATAAAGAATAGAGCATATTATTAATACACAGGAGAATAGCCTAAGTGTTCTTACCTATCTGCATTGCGAGTCTTTTTGTTTCTTAGCGTTATGTGTTTGATGGAGTCTTCTGTGATAACACCCACGGCAGGTAGGGTAATAGCTGGCACAGGGGGTGGGACACGTACTCTTAGGCCCCATATACTGGTTTTCTTTTTAATTTCCCGACCACATTTAAACCTGTTGGCAGAGCAACGATAAAACTGTGAAGCACAAATATATGATATACAACTGCATTATCGAGTTATATTTGGGGTTCAAAATAGATGAAAATGAAAAGGAAATTTATCTTTTCAATTTTCAGGTATATTAACAAGGCTAGGAAAAACAACAAAATACAATAGTATCAGCAGTTATCAAAGCCACTGATGCCTGGATGCCAAACATGCAAGACACAGACACACACAAATAAACCATGAACTCTCTGAACATGTAACCTCCTGTCTTTAGTCGTTCATCTTCCCTTTACTTATCCAAACTACAGCCACACTTATAAGTCAGATATAAAGCCAAATCATTAAAACACTAGCTTACAAACCTTGGTCTGTTTCCTTCCAGAACTCTTAATACTTCGTGTTTCCTCTCACTAACTCGAATGTTTTGAAGCTGAAATCAAAGAAAACGTAACAACTGTCAAGTTACAGTTCAAGTAAAAATTGTGGCTCTAGTATTTGCAGCCAGCACACATCTCTTGAGTCATTTAATTCACAAATATGTTGCACTACCTTAAATCATCAGTGACAAGCACATCTATAGTCATCATGATGTTATGGCCAATGATATATATACACCACATGACTTGCATGTACACAGCTTAGGCCTAGCCACAAAATCTAGACTGCTGAATAATATTACATCACAAAAAATTCAGGCTCCATCATAAGGTTAAAAAGGAAGAAATTATCAAACTGGAAAAAGAAGAATGCTACAACGTAGATGGTAAGCTGAGGAGAGGAATGAGAGAGAGACTAGACCAGAAGAGAATACAAGTTGAAGAAATTTCCAGAATTAACAGAATAAGATGGGCAGTAGAAAAATAGAAAATCAATTCCAAAAAAAGGGAACTGAGAAAGACGGATCTGACATCAAAGAAAAAGGAAATGAGAGATTAACCAAGAGAGAGAGAGAAAGGCAGAAAAAAAAGACAAAACACAACTTACCCCTAGTGGTGCTTGCAATAATTCCCAGTTGTCATTGATCCATTGTGTGATGGTGTCCTCATACTCAAAGTAAGTTTTGGAATCTTGCAAAGTTAGATTAAATATTGATAGATGCACAACATCTACCCACTTCACATCTAATCTATGAAGGAATTCTGTTCCTTCATTGCACAAAGCACATACAAAAACATAAAACCTGCAAGAGAACATGGAACTTCAAAAACAAATACGAAAGCCAAAGATTCCTTGCAATGTTTTCAAATATAAAACAGATTAATAATCATACAAATTTCTACATCAAATCTACATTATAAAATATCAAATCAAAGCGGGATTGTTAAGAAGGCTGTGAAATATAACGCAAGTTAAAACTGAAGGAAACGGGACAAGAAAGGAAAAGAGAACAAGAGGAAGGAGGACAAAGTGCGGGAGGAAAGAAGGATGAGGATGAGGATGAGGAGAAGAACAGGAACAGGAACAGAAAGAGGAAGGAAGGCTGGGTTAGAAGCATGGATAAAGTGGGTTGGTGAAAAAATCAAACCAACATAAGCATAAATGGGATAAAACATCAACCATGAAAAATGTTTATGAAACAACTCACCTATCACCATACAAGAGGGACAGATGTAGACAATCAACACAGGCTTCATGGAACCACTGTTTACATCGTTGGCACTGAAGCATGCGGTTATACCATTCTCCTGGTCCACCGCAGTAGCAGTACGTCTGCTCTCTGTTGCTTTTGTGACCTTGGTCCCATGTTAAGCTGTTAATCTGAGAAATGTTTTGAAACATAATTAGTAGGATATCATCAATACATTTAAAGTTTGTTTTTGTTTTTTTCATGTTTTACTCCATTCATCTACACTGACCAAAGTGAAATTTACAGTTTCATAATTGCTATTTTATACATAATTATCTAAAGTTGCAAAGTTGATACATCAGAATAATAATACTTTAAATATTACTACTAATTCATACATGATATGCTACTAAACATGTTACTTACATCATATGGCAGGTCTAGTTTGGTATTCTCAGGTTGTTGCTGCTGTGGCCGTGGTCGCTGCTTGCGTGGAGAATTCTCCCTTGATTTTTTCCGTTCTTCTTTCTCCATGGCTGAGTGGCCTGCACACCTTGGACACTCCCACTGGCTATCAGGCTCACAATATTCCTTCCCTATCCTTGGCTGTAACAAAGAGGAATCTTTTCTTGGGAAATGATACAAAAAATTTTATGTTTAAAACTTTCTTGGCTATTCATCTTTACTGGAGAGGACAAGAGAGTTAATCCTGTACCTGGAGACAATCTTGATGGTAGCCTTGCTCACATATGTGACACAAAACAATTTCATTTGTATCCCAGCTTTTGGAAGACTTGCATATAACACAGAGATCATCAGATTCAGGCAGTTTCAGCTTGGTGAGGTCTTTGTAGAGGGACCAGTGGGCCGTGCTGTCCTCAAACTGCACCAGGCAACGTTCATTTTCACTGTCAACCTGCAAGGGGACTTCGCTATGAATCACATCCAGAGCCAACAATTTACCACAAGGCCAATTAGTCCTCTGTTTCCCACTAATGAAGATACTATCATTCTATAAACAGATGTACATTTATGTTATTAAAGAATCCCAAATTCAGACAAGAGCAGAAAGGAAGCACCCATAACATTTGAGAAAGAATACCATGGAATATATACAGTGATATGGTGGTGGTGGTGATGGGAAAAGGAAATCTCTTCCATTTAGAAATTCTCAAACTTGCGAAAAAAAATCCCCCAAGTGATGCAAGACTCAACTGAAGAAGAAAAAAGAATGAAGAAAAAGGAATGAGGAAGATAAAGGACAGAGGTTTGTAGCTCCTCACCACAACTATAGTTCCTAGATAATACAGGCCGTCCTTTCCATGCGAGAGTACATCCTGGCCCTCTACGAAGCGTGACTCCCTCTCTTTGGTGGTGCTGTCTGGTGTCACGAACCCACTGTCACCCTCGCTGTCCCCATCCTGCATTAGGAAAGGGGAAGGAAGGTCAGGAAAACGGTCCACAACCTTGAAAGATCATAAAGGATTTTTAATAAAGGAGTTTTGGTTAAAAAATATATATATAATTATAAAATAAAAGCATGCAATGTTGAAGAATAACTCTCAAGATATGCTCCCTTTACTAACTGGAAAGATAATGGAATTCAACTCTTGCATAAAGGATTGAAGAAAAGAGTATACATACATGTACATAAATAACGCATCATAAAAGTAAATGACAATTGTACAATAGTTCCTATGCAGCTTCTAGCCTTAAGACAATACAAGATTTAAACCAACTGATACAGCAAACAAGTCTTTCAATTACTAACTTAAGCCTCTTTATTTATAAAAATCATTACATATTCTAAAATGCTTGAAATATCAGTTTTACTCAATACATTTCCAATGTCACCAACTTGAGTAGTCAAAGTTCATAATGATTAGTAGGATTACATTCAGATAGCTGCATCATCAAAATATAAATACATATCAAGTCTTTACTTTATTTTACAAGACATTAATGAGTCCACAGCTCATCATCTGACAGCTTTTAAACAAATATATTACAATACTCCCATTATCTGCAACATCTGTTATACATTGACAAAGTTTCTCAGGTGCATATGCCACAAAACAGTGTGAGCTAAAATGACCTCTGTTGAAAATTTAAGCCAATCCCAACTCAAGCTTTAGGAAGCATTTTAAAACACAACATGCACATACATAGATAATGAAATAATCTTTTGAATGTCAAATCAATAATTCTGTGTATTCACAAGTCTTTAATGAACCTTTCAACATCAAAATCCCTGACATAATCTCCAAAAAGAAGCAAAACAACATACAGCCACATTATATTATACCAGCAGCTAATCTTTAAATATAACACAAATACAAAAAAATTAAGTCTTTGTTACTTTTCACAATTTTCTTTCTTTGTTTATACATTCTTGATAATAGTAAAAGCAACTGATGAGCAATAAAGGCCAGTATCTTATGAGTTAGTAAAAGCATCATATGGTTATTTGCCAACAGGGTCTTCCACTATGTAACTTCCTCACTGTGGCAAAAACTTGAAAAAGAAAAAATATATATTATATATATACATTAAAATGAAGTATGACAATCAACATAAAATCTTTTTCAGATATCAAAATTGGGAAAACAATGAGAAAGTCACACAAAATAATTAAATTACTATCGAGATAGCAAGCGGACGATCCTCTGTGCAAAAAAAGTGAATGTCATAAGCAAGAGATATTGTGTAACTGTCAAGCATGTTATAAAAATTTTCAATCTCCATTATCATTGGACAAAATATTCTTTATGCATACAATATGGAGCAGCTACAATGCAAATCTGAACCACCTCAAGTATTTATAAAGTAAAAGGGTCTTCACAGGTAAAAGGGGAAGTAAAATAAATAAATCGATATAAAATATACATAACTGAGTGGCTTCCCTACAAGACTACTGATGACCTATTAATCCAAACAAATTTATCAAAAGATCAGTAAATAATGCATAATCAAGCTAATTCATCAGCTTTATCATCTATTAATTACTTACTAATAGATCTAAAATACTTTCATTGGCCCTAAGATTTGGGAGTCATTTACTGCTTGTAATACAAATTTAATCACAATCTTCTGATACATTACTATTTCACATACCAGAAAGTAAGGAGGTATGCAAAATTCACCAGAAGTGGAGGGATCTCTACACCTGACATACTCATGAACATAACTCTCAGCATATCTTGCATTTGGAGGTATCTTGTTTGCATCTCCAGGTTTAACTCTACAAGAAGCACAGCATCGATCGTCTACTTTTTTTCTCTCAAGATAAAATTTGTTGCTAGACTAATACTGCAAAATGATAAACCATGAACCACTTGCCTAAGTAAGAAGAAGACAAAGTGGGCAACTCCAGTTACAACTGAAATGATAAAAACAAAACAAACAAGAAGAGAAATTAAATTAAACAATGCAGATTGGGGAGACGAGTGACAAGATGATCTCCAGTGATATACATGCAAATATTATAATAATCAAAAAGCCTTGTTACCTATATCTCTTCTACATTTACATACTATTATAATAATCTGAACAGAAAACAGAATAGAACAAATATGATAAAAGAAACAAGTAAAAGGTTAAAATGCAAAATAATAATTAGGGGCATTTCTACACGAGCAGACGCCCGCACCTCCACCGAGCACCAACACCTATAGGGGGGGAGGGGGGAGGGAAGACTATAGATCCAACCCAAGTCTCGGCATGCTAAGTGTTCCCAATGAATTACACTGGATGAATGGCCCAACTACTGAGACTGTAATTCACCATGTATTAAGATTTTCTTCTTTTTCTAAATAAGAGGTATCAGTTAATGTAATGCTAAAATTGGCCCAGCGTATTAGTACAGTCACAGTCAGAACAGTTAGGTCACCCTATCATTTAGAAGCATGCCAACCAATGTACAGTAGTTTCCTCAATTAGTTTAAATCAAAAAAGGAAAATACATGTATCAGGGAACTTTTTGCAACATTTCAAATCTCATGGCCCTGTTTATCAGTAAATATATTTTGCAATGAAACGTGTAATATAATGTAATGCATTATCCTCTTCAGACACTATTACTCTCATACAGTGTCATACACTTTTAAAGGCATGAGTGCAAAGTGCTGTATTCCATTTACATAAACCCCCAAATGCGCTTCAAATATCATCTCTTGAAAAGGGCTGAAGCTAACACGTGACTTGGAAGAAGCAATGTAGCCTATCAGGTAAAGGATATTCCTTTCGTCAACAGAATGCTGATGCAATGATTACCCTTTATCATGGGGTTGCTATAATTTAACATTGCATACAAATATTCTTGAAATACATATTCCTCTCAAGACACTCATTTTACTCTCTTACGGGTGGTTTGTTATAAGTACTAAGATTTAAGATAACCCACTATATAATCATTCTGCTCTTGCAACAATTTTCATATACAAATATCACAATCACAAAAAACAATGGAACGATATGGACATATTCTAATGAATTTCATTTCTTCTTACAATCACAAATATGTAAAAATTACTCAGACATCTATTTGTTCTATTGATTCTACTATTGGAGATTGGAAATTTGGGTGAAGATGTAACTATGTAAGAATAACAAGCATGTGTGTCATTTATATTTATAAGATGGAACGAAAAACTTGCAATTTTATTGATTTATACACATAAAAAAAAAGAGGACAGGCAAGTAAGTGAGCACTAAAGTAGTGTTAGTGACTGCTGGGGGCAAAAACTATGAAAAAGATGATAACATGAAATGGAAAACTGACTGGTGATGTATGCTCATGGTCCAATACTGTAGCTTGGTGTCCTTTCCCTAAACATTTGACTTGTACGCTAAGATTCATGTTTTGCTAGTCGTGTAGAAAAAAAAGAAGTTAATGTGAAAGTAAATTTAGCCAATCTATGAGACAGATTTTCAAATATATATATAAATAAATGAATAAACATTTGATATATATATTCTTTTTTTTCTTTGGTAGCCAGCCAAGAAGCCCGAGAAGCAGTTTTCCTACCAATGTAAAAAGATAAAATAAAGATTTTTTGTTCTTTTATTGTGAACCAAGAAAATATGGATAATCACAACTTCACATAAAGACAAAAAAAATCATCTCAATATTTCCTATACAATCCTAGCTTACTATGAAAATGATTTGTGTATATCAAATGAAGCTACATTCATCAGTTTTGTAATTTCAATTTTAGCCTGTTTCACAGTATACCTACATGTCATGATTTGAGCGAAGATTGTCCTAGACCATATGTGGAAATATATCCCATTGTTACTAGCCAATGATATTACATAAACAAAATAAAAGAAAATATTTACTGACAATAGTAAAACCTATAGATGTGTGTTAGGCCTAACCATAAAATACTGCTCAGAGCTTAAAAAGTACATTCTTATTACTTCAAGAAATTCATACTTTCTGGAGGACTTACTAATTGCATATTGCTTCTGTGCATATCAACACATTGAAAGTTTAAAACCGAATATTTCGAAAGTGATTATATTGCAGTGCGTAAAAAATGTATTTGTATAAATATACCTTTCAAACAGAAAATAAAAATGGATTAAAAAACTCTGCCAAATGCCAAACCTAATCTTGGTATCATAAGTCACAAATTAACTGTTATATAACCTAACCCAAAATGAGTTAATTTCTTTGATAGGGTGTTTGGGACTTTATCGTATTCTATCTAACCCTTTGTACAAAGGTACATATACTGTCCACTGTGAATCTTATTGCACACAGATGGCTCCACAAGTGCTCAACCACCAAGGGGTTAATTTGTATGCCTGGCAAGACTTCACCTGGTTTTCACATTTCTCAAATTTTCAGGGTCTTTTTTATTAATATTGCTATTAACCCATTGGATCAAGTTACATCATGGCAATCACATCTCCAAAAACAAGGGCAATGGGTTGCACAAGTGGCTACAATCCTAGGCATGTACAAACACTTGTGAGTGGTGACAAGACTTTTTTTTTTTTGCCATTTTCCAATGTCAATATTTGTCTTTTGATTTGCTTTATCCATATGGATGCTGAGCATGGAAATAGCATCATCCCTGGAGCCATCATTTTTCCAGTCATAGCTTACGCACATTACATTCCACACTCATTTATCAATGGGAATAACGCATAAACTCCCTTCTAAACACCAACTGAGTCTAATCACACTCCAAGAGGTTTATGCACTCATGGTGAGTCTGTTCAATCACCCTGGCCTTCATTCGTGACAGCAAGTTCACATCACCTGGCCCTCGACCTAAATTTTTCCATGAAGGCATGGTCATGTCACCCAAATCATAGGGGTTAAGAATGATACTGTGCTCATTATCAAAATGTTATCAAAATAATGATGGCAATTTTATATTCTATCTATATTTTTTTTCTTTTTATAACTCTTAATAAATATCAAAGAAAAAAGGGTAAATAGTGGAGACAAGTAAGACGAGCAATTGACTCCTTGGTGACTAAGTACTTGTTCAGTCATCTATGTAAATGCCATTAGTCAACTAAAATCACAATGGACATCGCATACATGTTATGTCATTAACTACTATCTCTTAATTTTCCTAACTTTTTCAAATCCAGACATCACATATCCTTATATACCACAGGTGTTTTAAGTAACTTTTATATTACTAGTCTTTTATCCTACTTGTAACTTTGCTCAGTTTCATTTACTGTCAGACCAGTTTATCTAATTCTGTAAATCTGCCTTTGTGCCATTATACGACACCATAGTACTTTCTGTATATAAAGTGGCACAACTGTGAAATGAAAATCTTAAGAGCGATAAATAGGATTGATTTTCTAATCAATAAATTTAACCAAATTTCATTATTTGTCTAAGGCTAAATATAGCTAATCTGTATCATGAACTAGATAACTATCATAAAATCATTTTGTATTAGTGTTATAAATCCAATAATCATATCAGTTAATAACAGCTTAACCTCCACATAATCCACTCATCTTTTTCTATATTCTATTTCACTTATTGCTGATTTCTAAATACTAGTTAAATGTTTACAGAATTGTGATGAATACTGAAGTATGAAAACATTTCTTTAAGCTTCTCTATCACAGTCAAAATGTTTCTCATATCTGATCCAATTCTTTCAAATGTTTCTTGTGATTTGGGCATTATCATTTCTTATAAATCTTGTAACTTTTTGCATTTATAGAATCCATTCATCACGATAACTAAACCACTAAAAAAGTGAAATAAATAAATAAAACAACACTATAAGAACATCAAAATATATATCTACAGCCACAGAATACAAATACATCAAAGATATCATAACATGTAGAAAAATAACATGGCACTATCTCTCAACTACTAATAGAAAAATGCAAGAAATCATATTGTGATTCTAGACCTAATGTTCTAGATAAAAAAATAATAACAGTAATAACAGTAAACTGACTAAAACAGCTGAGTAAAAACAATACACTAAAAGGTATGGGAAAATGCAATACTTCAAATACTTCAGCGTCTCCTGAAGGCGAGTTACGCTTACCCTCTTCCTGGCACCGGACATGATGGTCCTCATCCACAGGCCACACACCACACGCAGCCACCTGCCTCCAGGGATGGTC